ATGCAAAGCGACAGGTCTGCGGAAGAGTGGCTGGAAAGATGCCTGGCAGAAAAGGACCTGGGGGTGTTGGTTGACAGTTGGCTTGTATCAGAAATAGTGTGACCAGCAGGAGTAAGGAAGTAATTGTCCCCCTGTACTCGGTGCTGGTGAGGCCACACCTTGAGTCTTGTGTACAGTTTTGGGCACCTCAATGCAAGAAAAACACTGAGGTGCTGGAGCATGTCCATGGGGCAATAAGGCTGTTGAAGAGCCTATAGCACAAATCTTGGGAATGTTTGATGTAATTGGGGTTGTCTAGCCTGGAGAAAAGGAAGCTGAGGGGAGACCTAATTGCTCTCTACAACTACCTGAAAGGAGGTTGGGAGTGAGGTGGGGGCTGGTCTGTTCTCCCAAGTAATAAGTGATAGGACAAAAGGAAATGGCTTCAAGCTGTGCCAGAGGATGTTTAGGTTGGATATTAGGAAAAATTTCTTGACTGAAAGAGTTGTCAAGCAGGCTGCCTAGGGAAGTTGTGGAGTCACCATCCCTGGAGGTATTTAAAAGATGTGTAGATGTGGTGCTGAGGGACATGGTTTAGTGGTGACCTGGCAGTACTGGGTTAATGGCTGGACTTGATGATCTTGAAGGTCTCTTCTGACCTAAACAAGTCTATGATTCTAACAGAGATAGTTGGTGGGTTGGGATGAATGCTATGTGGCATGCTTCTTGTAGACCAGCAGTAAATGTTTTATCCATTTGCTGGAATTCAGATTATTCTGCAACCTGATGAATTCCACACAGCTTCCCTTTCTCTGTGAGGTTGAGTAATGACTGTCGGAGATGTTTCTTTTGAAGAAGCATTATTAGATATCCCAAGATGTTCCCTTCCTCAAGTCAGGTAGAGACAATAGTGGGCTTTTCTACCTTTACAGTGGTTTTGGCCATACTGGTTCCAGGTAATTTTCCTTACAAATGTTTTGTTAGGTGTAACTCTGTATCAGCAGGTCTTTGCTTTTTTCCCCCCGTGTCCTGGCTGTACAGATATCTTTCTGTTTATGCTAAGTGCGTTTATCTGGTTACAAATCTGGTTTTATCTGAATTTTATCTAATTTATCTGGTTATGCTTTTGTCATTTTTTACATTTCTTGCACTTTGTTTTGCTATTTACAGGGAATACAGGTTCAAATAAATTATCAAGGCCTTTCAAAAACAGAACAGGAAAAGGACAGCAGTCTTGTGTATGCCTAAAAAGAAGGGCTCAAACTAGGCAGATCATGGTTTATTAAAATTAATTTTAATCTTTCCAGATATGCTCAGGGAGAGGAGAGGTCATGGTATGAGAGACTAATTCTTCCTTCTCTCAACCCTGTATTTATCTATAAAGAGTGAAGGTCTCAACAAAAATCCATGCTGTTATTAAATCCATGCTGCTCACAAACAGCTATTAGGATTGATCAAAATAAAGCAACTGTTACTTCTAGATTTTTATATTTTGCTCGGTGCTAAAGAGGAAATGTTTAGTGCATGTTAACTAGTGTAAGCCTTTGCAAACTGCATATAGCTGCATTTTGATAGAAGATCTGCAACTGTATCTAAGTTTGTGAAGATAAGGCTGTGTCATTAAAGATTAATAGCTCCTCATGTACATTTAAAAACAAAAATTTTAAGCATATAATCAAGTTGGAATTCCTGGTGTTAATCTTTTTGTTGTGACATTTTAAATTGAGATTTCATAGTAGTAAAAGATGAGGTTTTTTACCCCTCAGACTGGCTTGTCTTTTTTTTTACAGACACAATGTAACACTAAAACAAGCATAATAGGTAGACCTAATTTATCTTGTCTTCCTGTTGTGGCTGAACTCGGTTTACAATTGCTGTCCATAGGTCTGTCTCATTATTTTCATCGCCAGCCTCTCTGTTGTGTGGCAGGCAGAAGACTAGTTGTGATCTGCCTTAGTCAAAGTCTGCAGTGATCCCTTCTTGGCCAAATCACAAAACTGATACTTCATCCTCTATTTCTTGTGTGTGTCAGTGCTATTGAATGTATTCCTCTCCTGGACTCTGGTCTTGTTCTAGTTGATGTTACTCCTTATAACTTGATCATACAGCACATACTTCTTGGATCCTCCTCAACCTCATACTGTATTCAGTGTTCTGGGCATCTTCCCCCCAAGAGTTGCCTTTGGGCTGTTCATCTTACAAACACAAGTTGCACTGTTGCCTCTGCACCCCGGGGAGCTGCTAATGTTTGGACAAAATGATGAAATATTGTCTGTACCGTCATCATTTTATTTACTGCTATTTTTTCCACCCCTCTTCTCTCTTATTGTTCAGCAAATAAGATCTTGACCTGTTCAGACTTATCCCAGGAGCCTCAGCAAGGTTTGCTTGCTTTCACTGAGCCACCTCTCCACTTTCTGTTGCCTTGCAAAATCCGAACTGCTTATCCTTGGACTTTCTTACAGTAAATACTGGAGGTTGTTGCATGAGAAACCAATGTATAAAGCTCTTGAACCTACTTCTTCTACTTCATACTACCCCTATGTAAGGTTTTGTGTGAAGGGTTTTTGTCTACAGGCTCTTACCCTGTGTGGTTACTTACAGAAGAGTCTAGTAATACCTCAAGCTACTTTGTCAACCCTAAAATAAGGATGATTAAAAGTAACTTATTCTAAAGAACATCAGAATTTCTTTGTATGTGGGAAAAATTAATGAAACTGATAAGCAACTTTGTTGCAGGTTGGAAAACGCTTTCTACGAGCACGCGCAGACTTACTATTACACAGAAATACGAAGAGTTAAATCTCATAAGGAGTTCTTGAACAAAACCACTCATCAGGTAATGTTACCCTATTTTTTAAACATTATGCAAGTTATATTGCATGTTAAAACATGAAAATAAGGGCTGTTTGTTGCTTAAACATTTTTATTCCCCTGCCCTTCCAACTTGAGTTGTCTGCTCTCAGTAGAGAAAGCAAATATGTTTTTATTTTTTGCAACTTAAACTTTGATTTTGATTGGGTTTGTTCTTGTGTTTGTCTTCCTCACATCTTCCTTAGAGGAAGAGCTGCAGCCCAAAAATGAAGTTCTCTGATGTAAAAAAAATAAGATAATGTGCTTTGAATTATCTATATTGTTTAACCTATTTGTAGTATCTTAAATTGTGGGAAGTGCTTCCCTTGGGCATTTCTAACGTAAAGTTGCACTTGATTTGACTTTTTAACTTTTGCTTGAAAATGAAGTATCTTCTGTCTTGGAAGCTGGGGCCCAGGTGGTGAACTCTGAACCGGCAATCAACACTGGTGTGGAGATTTTTGAGTGTTACAAAGCCTCTCCTCTGTTCTAGTGTAAAAGGGTTGGAAATAGATTTAAGTCTGAAACATCTCTCTGCCACTGTGATGCAGCAGTGAATGACTGAGAAACAGTTGCATAGTCAGTTTTTCAAGTTGACTGCTGTATTATGTAAACCTCTGAAACTATCACCCCCATCTGCTTTGTAGGCAGCAGGTATGTTCAGATGTTTGTGAATGATGTACACTGGTTCTGTTTTGCAGCTTTTGTTTGTTAGACACCAGTTCAAAATAGCATTCTTCAGTGAGCTGAAACAGGATACACAGAATGCTCTCAAGTAAGACTCATGTAATCTTCCCACACCCTTTCTACCCTAAATTACTGCTAAGCCATAGACTGTGAAAAATATCTTCCTGAATGCAAAATTATTTAAACATGTATCTAAGGGATGAGTTCTTTACTGGAAAGAACACTGATTGGAAGGCTGTTTTCTGCTGTTGGCAGACTTGTTCTTAGATTTTTTTATCTCGTATGATTTAACTCTAACTTAAGTATTCTTGTTTAGAAATTACAGAACTGCTTATAATCTTGTGCATGAATTGAGGGCTCATGAAACAAACATGCTGGAAATCAAGACCATGGCAGGATTTATAAACTACAAGGTAACAAGTGTACTTCTAATCTTTGACAGCCTTTACTTAAACAACGATAAAAGTTGATGAATCTTTAATGTGTAAAGTTTTTAAAGTTCCATTTTTATGTTGCTTTTATTAAGGAGATGAATTAGAAACAGCTGTCAAAAACTTCTGAATTCCACACAAAAGAAAGATCCTTGGCTGGAGTTTGGGCATATCTTGAAGGAGTTGAGTTCATTTGAGGCACAGTTGTCTGAAAGGCTAGGCTCTCTTTAACTCTTGCTCTGTTCAGGGAGGGAATGGAAACAAGGGTTGCTTGTTCCTTGAGTATTTTTGTCTTCTTGCAAAGCTTCAGCCAGTATCGTGCAGTTACTGCTTGTTAAGAAGGGGAAATTAACTCTACAAGAATCAGATCATGCTTTTGTAGTATTTTGGGGGTTTTGAGGTAAAACAAAACTATCCCACCGTTTGCAACAGGCCTGGAGTTGGACTCCATCAAATTCCATTTACAGACTGCAGGCTTCAAAGATAACGATCTCCCTGTTTTCTGTGCTATTTGAGCTCTTCAGAAATAAGTAAATCAGTTGATTTATTTTTTTTGTGATTGATGGGTTAGTTGCAGGGTTTTTTGTTTGCTTTAAAGCTGGTCCTTAGCAGCCTAGCAGTTACTTTTCCTCTTATTTTGATTTCTTCTAGATCTGTCGCCTCTGTTTTCAGCATAATACTCCCCTGGATGCAATTGCTCAGTTCCGGAAACACATTGACTTGTGCAAGAAAAAAATAGGAAGTGCAGAACTGGCTTTTGAGCATGCTGCCTGGATGTCTAAACAGTATGGTTTTGCTTAGTGATGTTGCTGGCTTGGTTCTTATATAAAATTGTGAAGTTCACCGTGCTACTTGTCTGGGCAAGATACAAATGCCTAGCTCTTTATCTAAGAAAGAGATGCACTGAATTATAAAAACTGTATGTTCTTATTCTGGTTTGGATTCAATATTGACCACTTTTCTCTGAGACTGAGGAAGGTGACACAAATGACAACTTAGATCCAAAACTTCAGAGAAATATCATCTGCCTTAAGACTAGCAAGAACTTTTAGTTGAAGTGTACCTTTCAATTAAAATAGCTGTTCTGTACATAATCTTGATTATGATTTTTTTAATAGGTTTCAGGCTTTTGGTGACTTGTTTGATGAAGCAATTAAGCTGGGATTGACAGCAATTCAAACTCAGAATCCAGGTTTCTATTACCAGCAGGCAGCCTACTATGCACAGGAACGGAAACAACTAGCAAGTGTGCTTTGTAACCATGATGTAAGTTGGGAGGGGAGAAAATGCTTTGCCAGTAACCCAATAGTAAATTAACCATGCTTTTGTCTCAAAGAGTAGTGGAATAATATGTGATATGTGTACATGAAATTCAAGCAAAGGGTATTTGTTTTTCTTATGCTTACTAACATAATAAATACCTGTAATGTCTTGGAAAAGTTACTTCAGAACAAATATGTTAGTGTTTGTTCTATTACAGATAATTCTGACATATATTATTTTTTTAATAAGCTTCTAAAAAATACTTTGTACATCTCTGGATACTGGAAAACTTACTGTTTTTGTTGTTCCAGTATATTTCTCTATACATGCACAGTATCTGGTGACTTACAGGAAGCAGAGAAACAAGAACCTTAATATTGAGAGTGTGGGTGTGTGGTTATTGTTGCTTTGAGGGTATTTTTGACACTGGCCTGGCAGAAAGTGTTGCACAGAAAGTCAATCTCTGCACTTAATTAAACATACCTGTTAATTTTGTGTAGCTGTTCTCCAGCTGACATGTCCCAGTTACTTGAAAATGCCCTTGTTCCTATTGGTGCTATTTGTTTGTTGTTCTTGGATTATCTTTTTAGGGACTAGTTCTAAAAATGATTACCCAGTTATTTTTTAACAGTATTTGAGACAAGTGAAGGTGAGTAAAGTAGGATGTCAGACTGAATGACAAGTATTTCAATGTTTGGGTTTCCTGAAGTACAATTTTTATACAGGTGGTCAAAACGGTTGTATGCTTTAAAGCAAATTTCTTCTTTTATGTGCACCTGTATTGGAGCATCAAATCACATTTAATGCATTAAAATGAAACATGAACCCTTTTTTATGACTGTATTTTCTGAATTTACAGTCCTCTGTGAGCTATCCCAATCCGGATCCCCTGGAAACACAAACTGGAGTGCTTGACTTCTATGGGCAAAGACCGTGGCGGCAGGGAATATTAAGTATGTTTCTGTGGAGTTTGGGCAAGCTTCTTGTAGCTGCTGATCTGGCCAGCTGACTTAGTGGGCATCAGCATGTAATCCCTTTCCCACTGAGGCAGACACAGGGCTGGGACCTCACTCTTGCTGGTTGGTGGTGTGACTTGAACAGGTGTCAAGTGGAAGTGTTTGATTCTGTGACAAGTAGGAAAAGGAACCTCAGGTTTATGCAGGAACAGGTCTTTGCAGAGTTGTGTAGGCCACACTGAAGCTCTGCTGCTGTTCTATTGCTGCCTCAGCGTGCTGCAGGAATGCTTGACTCCAGTGAAATGCTCTCCTTGAAAGTGAGGTTGGAGAGCTGTATGCAGCAGAAGTAACCATGTCCCTTGTCAACTGTAGATAGAAACTCCATGACTTTTTTTATTCTAAAAAAGCTTTTTGGATTTTGAAGTGGATTGAGAGGATGCAATAACTAGACTCTAATCTAGAGAAAGGAATTTGTGGCTCTCCTGTTGAGGAGCATGTTTTCTCAGAAATTCAGACTCTGAATATACAGCTTTGAGCTATGTATGAACACATGCAGTTCTGAGATCTTCATTGTTGACTGGTTTTAATTCCCTTTCTCCCTCTGTTTGATCTCCTATTCTTTATTCTCTGCATATCCCTTGGGCTTTCCCACTTTATCACTGTCTCTTTTATAAACTTCATTTCATTTATTGTAAATACTGTACTGCCTAACCTTTATATTCAAGTGTTACTGTTTTAAAATGAAAATCTACTACCAAGTTTGAACAACTTAAGATTAAGAGAAACTTTACTTGTTAATATATTCAGGTTTTTTGGTTCCAGCAAGATTTTGTAGTCTTTTAAAGCCCTATACAATTCTTTATGTTGGCATTCTCTACTACTAGAGAAACATAAGCTTGAATCCTTACTTGAGATCAGATAAGAAAAAGGCTACAAATTTGTCTTAGCATACACGCTTTAAATGTTAGTAGATGCAGTCTAAAGACAAGGTTGTCTTACTGTAGTTTAACATTTTTGGGTCGCTTCAGATAACTCCCTTTGAACAAAAGGCAAGGTATTTGTTCTAGAATTTGCCTTCTAGAATGCAGATGAGTTCTTAAAGCAGTATATCCGTCACCTAGGCAAAAGAATGTTTACAAGTTGGAGTGTGCTTGACTTGGAGCTTGCATTGCATATAGTTCACCACATAAATAGTTCCCCTTGGGTCTGGACAAAGTTCCTATTTCATGGATTTTTCATTGTCTTATGCAGGCTTTGATCTTTCTGATCCTGAAAAGGAGAAGATGGGGATTTTATCCCTGCAGCTGAAAGAGAAAAATGTCCTTCACTCGGTAGGTTTTATTCTACAACAACAAAAGAATCTGTTTTCTAACATTGTCCTAATGTTTACTGATGTCATTATATACTCAATGTTTTTATCTGTTAGGAGCTAATAATCACTTTATTGAGTAATGCTGTTGCGCAGTTCAAGAAATACAAATGCCCAAGAATGAAAAGTCATTTGAGTGAGTATGGATAATCGTAAGTCTTTGCAAATTTTAAAAAAATACATCAATCTGGAACATTTTTTAACTATTTTTTTTTTACCAGTGGTTCAGATGGGAGAAGAGTACTACTACGCTAAAGATTATGTCAAAGCTTTGAAGTGAGTACCATCCATGTTTGCTTCTTTCACGCGCTGTTCTCTCTAAGACCCCATCTCTTATTGCCATGGAATGATGTTGGAAGCTCATCTAAGATGCATCTTATACCTGGATTTGATTAAAACACAAGCTTTGGAGTCTATGAACTCCGCTTATATTAAAGAAAGCAAAGCAGATATCTGCCTCTGTCTCCAGACTCTGTAGTTATAAAACTAAAAAAAAATAAGGAAAGGTAGCTGAATTTCCTTTGTGTTTATATACCAGGGAATTAACAAAAGGAGTTATTTTTATTGATGTAGTTTTCTGCTATTGACGACTACAGAGCTAGGAGAGCATAGTGCTGAGGTACAGCTACCATCTTTTCTGAAGAATGTCTTATGCTGGGTTTCTTTACATTTTTAAGGGGAAACGGGCAAGGTCATGTTAAGCAGGAGTCCCACAACGTTTTTATTCATGAGGTTTCAGAGATCACATGTCATGAAGGGGAGTATGTTTGAGGTAGGAGGGGTGTTACTACAGTTTAGTTACCAGCTGACTGGAAGCTGCATGGAGGAGGAGATAGGTTAGGATAAGCAGATCAATTTTTATCAAGCCTAATTTTTATACGAACAAGCATTTCTTATTTACGTTTAGCCTTTTTTACACAGATTTTTCTGAAGTAGGCAGAAACTCTTGTCTCGAACAGTTAAACAATAAAACTTAAAAAAATTCACTTCTCTGCTTTGCTAATAATGGCAAACGTTGTGCAGTATAAAAACCATGTTAAGGTGTGCAGTTTTGCCTGATAAAGATTGATGCAGGTATTGCTTTAGATCTTTGAAACCCTTGAAGGGAGCAGAGGATTGGGGGTAGGAGGGAAAAGAAACATCTCAGCTTAAGGAGCATTAAAATCCTTTAGTTTGGAAGGGGACTGTTAGGGGGGTTTGATTTGTTTTTCTTAAAACTTTCCACACACTCAATAGTAAAGTGTATTTTTAATGCAGTACTGGACTAAGACTCTTCTGTTTGGTTGCTGTTTTGCTAAGTCTTTGTGTGAAGACAGATGAGTTTTCCTGGTGTTCTCTTGTGAAAATTGTTCTGACTTGAAGTAGAAAATTCATGGAATAAATCTAATTTTGTATAATAATTCCATGCTGTTTTTCAATAAGTCATTGTCATATGTAAACGGTAGACTTGACTTCAATCTAGCATTTGTATTATTGAAGATTAATTTTGTATTAATCATGCTAAATGTAACCTGAAAAATATTGGTGTATGTAACTTGTTTTTTTTTTTCCTCTCAATTCTACTGTGTTGCAGGCTCTTGGATTATGTTATGTGTGAATATCGCAGTGAAGGATGGTGGACACTTCTCACCTCCATACTGACAACAGCTCTCAAGTGTTCTTATCTGATGGCCCAGCTAAGAGATTATATAACGTACTCTTTAGAGCTACTAGGAAGAGGTATTCTTTTAAGAATATACTCTACCTATACAGAAAAAAATAAAGTATGTGTATTTGGAAGTCTGACAAATCATTGTCAGACACAGTACTTAGAGTGCTTCAAATTATTTGACTACAAAATAACGGTATGCCTCTGCTAAATTTTTACTGCTTTCTCTTGTATGCTGGAAGTTGAGTTTTCTTGCTCTTTTATTATAAAATTCATTGTGTTCAGACAGTCAGGATATCTGAGGCACAGAGCTTCATCTGAGACAGTCCAAATAATGTAGCAGAAATTTTCTGAGGGGGAGGAACTGTAATATAGGTAAAGGGGAAAACATTTTTCTAGTAAGTAACAAAGCTAACACAATTTTTCTAGACTTTAAAATCCCAAATGTGCTTCTCTCAGACTTTTTATTAGAACTCTGCTGATGAAATATGCATGTGGTACGTTTTAGGGAAAAAAAGTGACATAGGGTAGATGCACAGTAATAGGGCAAGCATTGCTTCCTATAGTGTCTGTTACTTGACATTTGCAGAAATAATCCTTTCTATGCCCTAAATTGGTAACTAGTACCAGTATCGGGTTAGGTGGCTAAAAATTGTTTTTGCAACTTCTGTTAGCTAGCCAGGCTACTCTGCTTTGCTTTGTATTAAAGAACAGCCAATGACACAAAACCACCTTTCTTCATCTTCAAAGAAAGATCTGATTTTATTAGTCCTTTTTTTCCTTCTTGTCACTTTCTCTAGCTGTTATTTCTAATATTATCCAAGCTTGCCTCTTTGCATGTTCCACATTTTTGTAGTGTTTCTTCCAGTTTTCAACATAAGTAACAAGAAAGTATAGGCATTATTCTCTTGGGGATTTCCTCCAAGAAATTATGAAATGCTTATCTAACCAAAATATATTTTACTTGGTTCCAGTGGAAGTAAAAGGAAACCCTTTTAACTGGGGAAGTTCTGCAAACTGAATGAATACTTCATTACTTGTAGATGTTCAAATTTTTTGATTTTTCTCCAGAATGTGCTGTATTGTTGTTGTTTAGATTGAATCTTAAAAAAAAAGGAAAGATTTATTTTTAAGCTCCAAAAAAAAAAGAAGAGGACTTGCTGCTCTCTTATAATATTTTGATTTTGTTCTGTTTGCTAGCATCTACTCTTAAGGAAGATCAGAAATCTCGGATAGAGAAAAATCTGATAAAAGTTCTAATGGTAAGTGACAAAACTCCTAATGCACTTTTAAATAATGTTAAGAGTGGTCAGTGTTTGGTAACCTTCTATTGTTATTTGTAATCTTCTGTCTGGATACAGAATGAAAGCCCTGATCCTGAACCTGATTGTGACACAGCTGCTGTGAAAGCATCACAAAAATTGTGGGCTGACCGTGTTTCCTTGGCAGGCAGTAATATATTTACAATAGAAGTCCAAGATTTTATACCATTTGGTAAGTAAGAAAGCAAATTTACACCAGACTATAAATATCAGTGTAGTTAAATCTTGAAAATAAGTAATTAGGAAAAAATATTAAGTGTATATGAATGCCAGCAACCATGAAACTCTTGTTTCAGTACTGTTCTATTCTTCATCTGAGTAAGACAAGAAATCGTGAGAGAAGCCAGTGATCTCTGATCGCTGGTCTGGGTTACTAAAGAAGAATCACTTGTTTTTTTAAAGACTTCTGCCATTTTGGTGTGCTTTGAAGTAGGATTCTGAGAGGCAAGGATATTTGCTAAGTACTACTCCCCATAGAAAGGGAGCATCAGTGCCTGTTGCCTACAAAAGTGTATCAAAGTGTACTGCATTTTTTTTTTTCTCCTGTCCTCTACAAAGGTTTTAGCCAACTCCTGAAAAGTGGCTTTCTGTGACAGTGTCAGCAGCCAAATTTGTCCCACTTACATACAAGCCAAAGTTTTGAGAGTGCACAGAACAATCCTTGCACATTTATTTCAAGAGCCTGCTTTTAGAACTTCATGTTGTAGTTTGTGTTTAACACCTGCTTATTCATGCCTCTTTTACCTTTTTTTTTTTAACTCTAGTGCAATGCAAAGCAAAATTTCTTGCTCCTAGTTTTCATGTTGATGTTCCTGTGCAGTTTGATGTCTACTTGAGAGCTGATTGTCCTCATCCTATCAGGTTTTCTAAGCTCTGCATTAGTTTCAATAATCAGGTAATTAAGTTCTGTCTCTGGCCTAGTGATAGAAACTTACCATAAGAATGGAATAATATCTATTAGTGGTTTTAAACATAAAAAAATTCAAATATTCTTTTCCAAAAATCTTGTTAATACTTATAGTTGGAAAGGTGTCTTTTCTTTTAGCATTAACTATCACTTTTGACAACTATATTGATACTGTGATAAAACTCCCAAATACAGTTTGATTAGTTTGTCTATCATATCTTTGTTTTTCTATGGATCTCTCTAAAGTTTCAGAAGGATCATTTTAATGTCTTATTTCTCTTTATGTTCTTGCATGGTTACATTAATCTAATGTAGTTGTGTCGAAGAATTGTTTTAATTACTTGCTAAGTGTAAGTTAATAGTGTTAAGAGTGCCAACCATTAGTCTGAAAAGTAGCAAGAATCCATATAGTTTGATGCAGTAACACAGAGCCTTAATCTTTACTGTGCTACCATTACTCTCTGAAGATGTCTTAAGTCTGCATTTATCAACTCTCCCCCCCCTTCTCCATTGCAGGATTACAACCAATACTGTGTGGTAGAAGAAGCTTATCAAAAAAGTGATATTCTAGAACAGTCATCACAGGGAACAATGTGCTTAGTCCCTGGCAAAACGAGAAAGTTCACTTTCAAATTTGTTGCAAAAACTGAAGATGTAGGAAAGAAAATTGAGGTTTGTCTATTTGTTTTATGCCTTCCTTACTAATGCTTCCAGAGAATTCAAAACTACAAAGCTGCCTCTAATCTGGCACTAGTTACTAAGGTCACTGCAGATCCAGACATTTTAATTTTTAAAACTAAGTGCCAAAAATGAGAGTAAAATTATATCGACAATACCAAAGCAAAAAATTATCACAAAAACCTTAGATATTGCTTTAAGTTTGTGGTTTGGTTGTTTTGTTGGGTTTTTTAATATGTCCAATACTCTTTTTTTTTTTTTTTTAAAAAGGGAGGGGAGGTGGGAATCCACAAAATACTACACTGCACACAGAGGGACACCGTCACTTTGCCCACCACTGATTAAACGAAATCCCAGAGCGGTGAGGTGTCTCACCAGAAGCTTTTTGATGATACACATTGTTATTCTGCCTGTGGATGTTAGAAAACTCTGTACTCCTACAGTAGGGAAGTAGTCTGAAGACAAAGTCATCCATCAATGTGTGTTTAAATTGGTGTCTGTCAGATCACCTCTGTGGATTTGGTCCTGGGAAGTGAATCCGGCCGATGTGTGATTCTGAACTGGCGTGGAGGAGGTGGAGATGCCGCTTCATCTCAAGAAGCGCTGCAGGCAGCACGTTCCTTCAGGCGAAGACCTAAGCTTCCAGATAATGAAGTGCACTGGGACAGTTTGACTATTCAGGCAAGCACTATGTGAGTAAAAACTTGAGAATATATATTATATGTATCATTTTGAGTCTCCTGCAAAGTCCTGATCACTCTGCCTGAAAGAAGAAAGATTTGTTTGGACTTGTTTAGTAGGAGCTTTTTAATATTTCTTTGCTTAACTTGGAATAAGATAGGTGCTGTATTAATTTTTTAGGACTTCTGAGCCTTCAGATAGATAGATCTACAGAAAAAGCTTGGATTAATCTCTGAGCATACCAAGTATGCTTTACTTCTTCCCTTCACCTAACTTTGCTAGGCAGGCTTTTCCCAGCTTTTTGGGCTAACTGAAAGGTGTTACTGTTCTCTTGCAAAAGCTATCTTGCAAACAAAGAATCTCTAAGAAATTGTACTGGAAAATAATTATTAATAAATAACAGTAATTTAGATGTATTCAGAAGAATTAAACCAGATTACTGGGGGGCGGGTTACTTTTTTCTTTGCAGGCAGGCCATCTGAACTATTAATATTTATTAGTGGTGTTCCAATCTATTTTTGTAGAGTTGTTCCCATCGTGTTGCTGTAAAGGGATCTTGCATCTCCCGGTTGAGTAGGATAACAGTTGTCAGAACTCTCTTAAACAATAGTCCATTTTAACTGAATTTAAATTAGGCTTAAAAACTTGTTATTTAAGAAACACGATAACTGAGTCTTTTCTCTTTGAAGGATTATTTCTAGAGTGCCAAACATTTCTGTACAGCTCCGTCATGAACCTCCTGCTCTGACTAATGAAATGTATTGTTTGATTGTGACAGTCCAGTCACATGAGGAGACAGTGGCCAAAGATGTTAAGCTTACAGCAGGTTTAAAGCCAGGTATTTGGAGTTATTTTCTTTTAATAGAGCAGTCTTCTAATTGACTCCTTGTTCTTGCAGAGAAATACAGTAAGTGGCTCTCCTGCAGTAATTAAGAGTCAAACCAAAGTGAAGGTTGGGAAGGAGATACTAGTGATAAGAACAAGAACTAGCAGTCTCTTTCAGTTACGGTTATCTTGACCACTGCTTTTCAGTGGTGTTTGTGTGTGTATTTTCAAAAGATAAGACTTTACAAGTTCAAAAGAAAACATGGAAGTTTTTGTATTCCTTTCTAACCTTTTATTTGCTCATACCTAAATTCTTCTTCTCCCAAGAGGCAGATCTTTTTTCTTGCTGAGATGAAAGCACTGGACAGTGCCAGATAAATATTTCCTTAGAGTAGTCTTTGTGCATTTTCTCCCACACTCACTTTTTTTCCCCTGCTCTGGACAGTGTGTTTTGGGTTTTAAACAACTGGAAATCTGGGGAGTGGTGGAGAACTGAGACAGTATTCCTTCAAATGATAAGGGAAAAATGCAAATATTTTGTGTCTAAGTTCTAGTTGGCTGTAGATAGTTACTGCTGGCAGTTTTCAGTAAGTGAAGTCCAAACATTATACTTGGTATGCCTGTTTGTAGCAATTCTCGTAAAAGGCAAAAATATTTTTAAGTCACTAGCATGTAGGATGCAATATGTGCTGTGTGCTCTGACACAGAAGTACATTCCCTGTCCAGCTGTATGGTTCATCAAAGTCAGTGGCATGTTCTTTAAACTTACTGAGTTGGATGTTTGGGCTTGGCTCCTAAAGTGGTGTTTAATAGTTCATCTTGATTTCCCACCACCCACCCCTCCCCGGCTTGATCTTGACTCTTAACGTGATATGCAAGGTCAGTGTGGGATTGCTGATTACACTTAGAACAACAACTGAAATTTGACATTTTCATTTATAGGGAAGGTGATATATTCTTCCACAGCTGCAACTCTTTGAGAAGATGTGGATTGTTTTGCTTGGAAAATTATCCCACATGATTGTAGTAATGCCACTACTGTAGTCAACTTCTGAATGAAGAATGGTGCCATTTAACATCTATATGGGTTTTATGTATTTTCAACACATATTTAGAAGAACAATTTTTAAAAAGATATAAAACCATTAAGCCACGCTATTGAAAACAGAACAATCAGAACAGTGAAACTTACTTTGTACTTCATATAGAGTACCAAGAGAAACTTGGATCATATGATCATGTTGTGTTTTGTACATGGTAGGGAACGTCTAGATATGATTTATGATTTTTGAGTTTTTTTTCTGGCCTAAATAAATAGAATATAAACCTTCCAGGACGTGAACCCTCCAACTTAGAGACCTTAGTGTTGACAGTTCTACCTGCTGCTGGTACTTTTGAAAGGTTCCATCAACAAAATGAATAATTTTAATTCTTCATGCATTGCTTTTTGAGATTAATACCTTATTTTTAGGTAGTGCTTTCATGCTTCAGTGATGTAAACCTGTGTGGATATGAAGACTCTTTTTAATCCTAGGGCAAGATGCCAACCTGACTCAGAAAACTCAGGTGACTCTTCATGGAACAGATGCATGTGATGACTCCTTTCCTGCACTACTTCCTGATATCCCTGTAGGAGACTTGCAACCAGGGGAAAAGGTGAAGGCTTAAAACCTTTCTAGATCACACTGAAGAAAATGGGGATCAGCTAATAAAAGACTCTCATAGAAGGACCTATGTTTACTTTTAGATATCTGAATGGATAAATGAAGCACCTGTGGCATGTTTTTACCTATTGACTATTTCTAGTTTAGCATTTCTTTAGCTAGATGCTTTAGCTTTTGGGCTAAATTTGGGAATCAAGTATATTCTGGGCTGGATGATACAGCTGGGAGATAAAATAAGGAGGCTAATCTCAGCTGTTAATTAAATGCAGTGCCTAATGGACAGTAGATAGTAGTAGTCAGCAAGTGTAATTTGACATGGTAGAGGATCAAATATGCAAGACATTGCACCGAAGTGAAATGGTGACTAGTAAATCAGATGTTGTGTAGTTCATGTATTACAGAGTAATGCTGTTGGGTTTTTTCTTGTGCTGTTAAGTGACAAACAAGCATCAGTAGCAAAGCCATGGGAGCTGTGCTACTCTGGTTAAAACCATTCACCGCATGATTAAGGTCGTGCATTGTAGGAGACTCTTTTTTTATGGTCAAAATAATACCAGGTCTGCTATTGCCCTCTTGGACCAAGTAAGATGATCAACAAGTTTTGAACAGCTCTAGGACTAATTGATGTAGTTTAGGTAAAGCTTGGCTCATGCTGTCTCCTTTATTCACAGCTGGAAAAACCAGTGTACATTCGCTGTGGAACAGTCGGTGCAAGGATGTTTCTGGTCTATGTTTCCTACTTGATCAACACGGTCGTCGAGGGGAAAGAAATCCTCTGCAAGTGTCACCGGGTAGGATGGAAAGATGCACCAGTTCCTGAAGATATGTTTGTGAAATGCAAGAAATATTCTTAGTGTAAAGGCTGTAATTCCAAGCCTCTTAGAAGCCTTTCGGGTAAATTTAAAAATGCTAAGTCAGCAGTATGGTATCTCAGTTTAGGGTGAGCTGTTTCATAAGTATTAGTGTAAATTAAAAAGTGTAATATAATTCTTAGTGTAAGTTAAAAAAAAAAAGCTGTAATTCCAAGTCTCTTAGAAGCCTTTCTAGTAAATTTAAAAATGCTAAGTCAGCAGTATGGTATCTCAGTTTAGGGTGAGCTGTTTCATAAGTATAATCATAGAATGGTTTGGATTGGAAGTGACCTTAAAGATCATCTAATTCCAGTCTGCCTGCCACGGGGGGTCAGATCTAGAGGACACCTTCCACTAGATCAGGTTGCTTGAAGCCACATCTAACCTGGCCTTGAATGTTTCCAAGGACAGGGCATCCAGAGCCTCTGTGAGCAATCTGTTCCAGTACCTCACCACCCCCACAGTGAAGAATTTCTGCCTAATATCTAGTGTAAATCTGCCCTCTTTCAGTTTGAAACTGTTCCTTGTCCTATCACTACACTCTGTGATAGAGTCCCTCCCCATCTTTTCTGTAGGCCCCCTTTAAGTGTTGGAGGGCTGCTAGAAGGTCTCCCTGGAGAATCAAAAGTTTTCTAGAATTATTCTCAAATATCTTAAAGATAAAATCTTATTGTGAGAGGACTTGGTTAAAATGTTGATTAAAGTAAGTTGTGTTAGTAAGCTTTGACATCAATAGCCAGGCCTGAAACTGAATGTAACTCCCTCTCCCCCTTTTTTCCACCCATTTTGTTACCTATACAGGATGAAACTGTAACTATAGAAACAGTATTTCCTTTTGATGTCGCTGTCAAATTTGTCTCCACAAAGGTATGTGTTTGAAAAGGTGCTGGTATTTTGGAATCACGCCACTTTCAATGGTCACATCCTGTTTAGTTAGAAATAGCCACATCTTGTGTCTGTCTTGGCAGTTGGAGCACTTGGACAGAGTATTTGCAGATATACCATTTTTACTGATGACAGACATCCTGAGTGCCTCTCCTTGGCCTCTCACTATTGTAACCAGCCAGCTACAGCTGTCAGCTTCCATGACCCCAGTAGATCAACTGGAATCTTACGTGGAGAATGGTAAGTTTTCTTAGGTTATGATCTCTCTCGGGAGGGTACTTTTTGCATAAGTTGGGAGTAAAGAAAGGGGGATGTTTCAAACAGCATTTGCTTATCAAACTCCAAATAGAAGAAAGCTGCTAAATACTATGGTTGCTTGCCAGAGCACAACTCAGAACTGTGTTTTGAAGCATACTGCTGTCTACCTCACTGGATAAAGTAAATAGACGTGAACGATAGATGGTAACCAAAATTCTAAATAAAACAGGCATAAGGGAAAGTACTTGCAAGTACTTCTGTTATACAGCTTTTTTACATGTGCATATGTACAGGTACTTAACATTTCCAGTGTTTATGGACTACATATACTTTCTGGAATGCAAACACTTTACCACGTGGTAGAGGCAGCATCCAAAGGCTCAAGTGATCTATGTCCATGATTTGCAGTCATGAAACTGAAAAATGTAAAGCCAGACAGGGTAGGCTCTAAAAAGCAGTTAGAAGTAAGCATCTTTTTTTACACTAACACAATTTAGTAACTTATCGCTTAAATGTAAAAAGCAAACAAAACCACCTTACAGACCTCAACCTTTAAAAGCTCAGTATGTTAGCTTTAAAGTTGAATAAATGGCGTACTTAGCAGTAGATCTGATCCAAAATCATCCAAAGAACTGTGTTGTCTTTGCACTTGCTTAGTCAGAGATGTGACTGTGTATTCAAAGCTTGGAATAAAATAAGGCAGCCTGGATTGCTGCCCGATTGTGGCGCCGCTGTCCACCAATATCACCAAGGACTTGCAAGACTAGTTCCTCTGTAGATTTAAGAGTTACCTGGCAAAAAGCAACTATTGCCCAGGTCCTTTAGTCTTAAAATCATGAGATGTCATCTTTGGCTCTGGCATCTTGTGCTTCATGGCTTCTGGCTGATGCTCCTAAAGAGTTAACTGCCAGGAGGAATGAACCCCTTCAGATACCAGCTATTCAGCTGTCCACCTTTTGGTTGATGAGTTGTGGTTTATTTTTTTCCTTGTAAGGCCTAATAAAGTTGATTATTTTGAATTACTGAAACCTCTGGCATCTTGTGCTTCATGGCTTCTGGCTGATGCTCCTAAAGAGCTAACTGCCAGGAGGATTGAAACCCTTCAGATACCAGCTATTCAGCTCTCCACCTTTTGGTTGATGAGTTGTGGTTTATTTTTTTCCTTGTAAGTCCTAATAAAGTTGATTATTTTGAATTACTGAAACACCTATTTTCTTAGTACTTTTTTAAAAGCTCACAAAGTGAAAAGGTACCACTATTTTTTTCAGTTAATTCAAGTTGGGGGGAGGGGGACTGAAAACTCAAACCCAGTAGATCTTTCTTGTGTTCCTTCTCTTCCTCACCTGTCATCTGTTTGGGTGGGCGAGGAGAAGTGTCTGTCTTCATTTTAAACTGTGAGAGACATCCTATGCTGATGTCTTGGAATTTACTGTGGGAATTTAAGTGTAGACTTTGGTGTTATTTTGCCTTTTTTGGGCATGAACTCTACATTTGCAATGACTTGTTCTGTGTGTACGTGAAAGATCTGATGATGTCGTTCAGAAAGTAAACTGTCATATATGAGTATGTGTCACCCTTTAATATATTGGGATGCTTCACTATCTTCATTGAATTTGGTGTATTTTGTGGGTATATTTGCAAAGCACATCAAAGGCCTTTCTAGCTGACTGCTTGTGTGTGTGTCATACTGGATTTTTAGACTTGGTGGCTTCTGCAGTAATTATTTAGCTTTGATTTTAAACAAAATCTTGCTGATAGTTGTTTTACAGACAGGTGAGAGTGCCAGTGAGTGCTTTTGCCTTCGATGTCCTCCCGTTACTAATGCCACTGGGGTGGCAACTGGATCATACATCATTTCCTGGAAGAGGTAAGTATCTCTTGGTCTGGATGGGGAGAAGAAATAAGTTGGTTTGTTTCTAAGGGATGATGGTGAGGTTTTTCTTTTGCGGGGGGGAACTTTTTTAGGTTTGAATCTTCCTATAGTAAGCACTGTCTAGATTTTGGACCTTACGAAGTACTGCTTAGCTTGTTAGACTTTTCAATAAATACATGTTTCAGTTAAGAGGTAAATGTTAAATGTTTATGGTGTTAACACTGAATGAAGCTTTGTTCTTAATAAGACCTTAGGTCGATTCCAAAGCTGTTTTGTCACCTTCCACTCCCTGTTTTCTCCAGTCATGAAATATTTCACTTGAAAAGTCAAGTCAAAAGAATAGCTTAGATATAGAAACAAACAAACCTTTTAAATAAGAAAACTATTTTCCCACCTTAGATTGTATGTTTGTTTTCACTCAGTTTTCAAAGACCAAATGTTGTGATATCTTTCCCCTCGTTTGTTTTTATTTAGTTTCAGAGCTGTTTAGTGTTCTTACTTGCCTATTGCTGTTTTATCACCATGCTACAGCACTTTTTTTGCTTGCTTCAAACAGTCCAGTGTAATGATTGGGGTATTTTCTTTCCACCACTGAAATTACTATAACTTTGGTTTAGTCACATATAAGTGATGTTCTCTTGGTGTACTCAGCATACTTTATGTTGTATAGCTTTCACCCTGCTCTACGTTTGCCTTTTTCCTGCAGGAGTTCCCCTGTGGAAAGCGTGCCTGTTGTTAGTACAGTCATCACTCTGCCACATGTGATTGTAGAGAGCATTCCCCTCCACGTTAACGCAGGTAATAGCAATTTGGCAACATGTATGTCCCAATGAGAATTTTTAGGACTGCCAAAGTTTTGCAGCATCCAGAGCTTTCCTTTACTGTAGCAAAAAATATGTACTGAGATTCTTCCACCATTCTTTTCTGTTACATTTTGAAGGAGCTTCCTGACAGTATCTGATAAGATTTTGGTATACTGGAAATACCCTGCAGCAACCAAGGTGACTTCCTATTTAGCACTCCTGGACAGTGTTAGCAGCTGGGAGTTCTGTAACTAGATGTTGAAGTGTTATTGAACTGTTGTAATGAAGTTGTGCCCTGTTCTTTAATCTTTTTTTCTGAAAAATCTTCTTGGAAGTACTTTAGATGCCTAGTTGTTCTATCTTTATTTTTTCTTCAAACTTCTCACAGCTTTTTGCAATAGGCTTATTTTATATAT